AATGTGGAAACATTTAACAACAACATCATGAAGGATATAGCAATATCATAGTCATGGAAACAAATTTAACATGTGAATCATGGATGAAGAGTTTAAGTATACACATAGAGAATGACTTGACAAAGTAAAAAAAACAAGGTTTAGAATTTACTAACACCACTTAATAATGAATACAATTTAAGAATTCAAACATGGATAAGTTATAACAAAACTTAATCATGAATAAAATTTAAGAAATCAAATATGGATGTTATAACAACACTTAATCATGAATACAAAACAAGAGTTCAAACAATCATGGATAAGTTATAACAACACTTAATCATGAATACAATTGAAAAAATGGTTCAAGACATCAAGGTAACAACCAAAGGTACATGTTAAGGTTCATGGTGATCACATTCAAGGGTCAAAACATCACAAAGGTTTGAACATGGTAAGCATACAAGTTTGGAATCATACAAAGACATGTTATCAAAATTCAAGGTATTTATGAACACATAAACAAAGGTGGATAAGCACAAGGACAAACATGCACAAAAGGGTTCAATTAGGTATGAAAGGATAACAAGTATATCATGTATCAAAGACAAGGCAAGTAAGCAAAAGTTCATGGTATAAACCACAAAGTTCCAAAGCATGTATACACAAAAAAACATGCATTAAAGTAAGCCACACTTAAGTAGAAATAAAATGAAACATGTTACCAACATCACACAAGGTTCATACAATGTGTATCATATTCACACAAGTCATCAAGGTCAAGAAAGATCAAAGGACAAGCCAAAGAAACACAAATAATGACCTAAAACCAAACAAAAAGTGTCTTACTTTAACTACACAAAAATGTGCAAAAATAAAAATAAAATTGGAAAATTTTCATAGATTCATAAAATATGCAATATTATGAGCAAATGAGAAAAATAATGGCTCAAAAAGGCAAGGGATGACAAAGATATCAATGTTTGAAATTGTGAAGAAAACACAAAAAAGAAAAAACAAGTAGTAAAAAATAAAGGGATGGTGGTTGCCAAGGCTTGAACTCATGCCACTTTGGTTATAGGCCCCAAATTAAGCCACTGGACCAACATGTGCATTGTGAATATTGGGGGCATCCATCAATATATATTTTAAATTTCCTTCAGAAGTTGAAAAAAAAAATAAAAGAATCAAAAGGGTCTAGGGCGAGGGGGATTCGAACCTTAGACCCCTTGGTCACAAACACTCCAAACACGCACGTTTTAACCAGTGGGATGGTGATACATCCAGTGTTTAAAATGGAAACCAACAAATTAATATTAAAAGAACATGATAAAATGAAAACTGACACCTCAGCTCATCTTCAACCTCTCACGCATCCCTCTCTTTCTCTCTCTTCGTGCTCTTCCTCCTCTCTTTTTTCCAAATTTTCAACAACCAATATTCTCTCATTTTTCCATCAAAATTAAAACCGTAAAAACAAAAATTGCTCTAATTTTTCCAAGGAATATAATGGTACAATTTCCATGATCTAAAACTGACTTACTAGAGCACACGAAAGGCACAAACAGAAACAAAACCCTAAGTTTCAAACATGGATAACTTCTCATTTGAACAAGATAACTTGCAAATAGTAGTAGGAACACAACAAACACAGTCATGTCTACATTTTTGCTTCAATGAACAACCACAAATGATGCATGCACAAAGAGTTTCAAAGTGTAAAAACACTTACCTATTAGAGCAAGGTACAATGCCTCTTCACAATGGTTACAGAAGTAATATGAAGATCCTATGAGCCTCCAGTAGTTTAGTGACGTCCTTGGTTTATTCTGAAACAACTTGAAACCTCTCACACGAACCTTCTTGCACAATGGAGTAATGAACTTGGAGTATGATATTATGGGTGGTTCAGAACTTATTCAATGGTTTGAACAAAGTCTAATGAGTGTTTAGGAAAGGTTTGTGGTGTTAGTTTGAAGAATGCACGAAGGAAACAACATTTGGGAGCTTTTGGCTTGAGAACTTGCCTAAATGGTAATTTTGGAAAATTCTGGTGTGTAGAGAAGTTGTTGAGGTTCTGAGGGGCATTTCTTGTGTGTTTTGAGGCTTAGAGGCGGCCTCTACTTATGTGAGAGGTTGAGGGATTGGGAGCTAATCAAAATCCAAGGTTATGTGGCTCACTTGATTTGGTTGAAAGTGAAATGGTAGTTTCATGAATTGTAAAGTTCCAAGGAGAAGTACAATGCTATCTAGAGTGGTTAAAAGCCCTTTGATTTTTCTTATGAAAAAGAAACAATCACAAAGCTCCATACAAGTTGTCTTTGTGATTAAAGCTTCTTTATGTAAATGGAAGTGTGATCTTTTTGGCAAAGACCTCCATAAATGGAATGAAGCTTTGGATAATAGCTCAAAGTCTTTGTGTAATGCCTCAAAAACTTGTACCAACTTTTGATTAAGGGTATATTTAGAAGCAACAATGTCTAGAAAGCATGATTATGCAAATTTGAATTGGATTTGCTTCAAGTTCATGCCATGAAAATGACCTAAAACTCAAGTTTGGAATGCCAACTTTATCTCTTTGAATCTCTTAGCTCAAGCATGGAAAAAATGAGTTCTTGGACTCTTTGGAAAGATTGAAACATTCTCTACAACTTTAATGTTTTGAGTTTTCCTTGAATCAAAATGGATCATGGTGAAAAATGTCCTCAAAGTGAGTCACTTTTATAAGGCAGATTTGTATGAAAAACTTCTAAGTGTCCAAGTTCAAGGGATAAAGAATCCACCACGTCATGGCCTCATATCTCTCAATCTATGAATTTTTTTGGGAAATCATCCTCAAGGAAAAAGTTGTAGTGTGGAACAAGCTCTTAAAAATGGTCTTTGGAGCAAAGAAAATGGTTGCTTGGATTGGAAATTATGGTCTTGGAAAGTTAGCACCAAATTAGGATTTTCTCATAACTTAGAAAAATTTCTAACTTCTTCATCGTTGCCCTTTTTGCGAGTAACCTCATTTTTCTTGATCAAATTCAATCATCAAACATATTTCCATGGAATTTATCTTGAGAAGTTCAATTTTGATCAAAGAACCCCAAAAGTCACAGGTTTGACTTTGCAATGATTGACTTGTGTATCAGATGAATTTCAACTTTGTGATCTTCAATGAAATGAAACCCTTGGGCTATTTGATCATTATGGATGGACTCTAAAAGTGTATTTGAGTGCCTTGAATCATGTCTCGTGGCTTGAGATCATGTTTGGGTCAAAAGTCAAAGATGCAGTTGACTTTGGTTGAAAAATCCTAATTTGTGGACCAGATGAAAATGAAGCTTGACAAAACTTGTAATGAGGCCATGTCACACTTGATTTTTGATGTAGGGAAGCCCTTGATCATGAGGACTTGATATATTGATGATTAATCCAAAACTTTGACTGATAAACTACATCTCCTTGATGCAAAACCCTAGTTCACAAACAAAGGCAAAACAAGACAAAATCTGATAATTTGGTTAGCTATGCATGAATGATATACCTAGAATGTTATGCAAATGATAATGGAATCTAGGGGTAAAATTTGGGGTATGACAATGGTGAATGGTTTATTCCTAGTATATGGTATACCTTGTTTTCTTTCCTACATCAATATTTAAGTATTTAATCCATCTGCAAAAGACTTAGATAGAAGGATTTGACCTAATTCCTCTGATAGCAATCTCTCAATGAAACATGCTTATTTTTATTAAGTCTTCTTCAATCAAGCTAAACTGGGTCAGGTGCATTTGGAACGTTGATCTTCCTCTATCTAAATCTTTCTTTATCTGGCATCTTTTGCATAAAAAAATCATTGCTAGTGACATGCTCCATCGTAGATGCTGCAGTTTGATCTCTAGATGTAGTATTTGCAGGTCACATGTTGAAACCAATGACCGTGTTTTATTTTAATGCCTTTATGCGATCAAAATTTGGAAATGGCTCTACATAACCATCAAATTATCCAACACCATTACTTCAATTGATAATGTTTGGCCTCTCGGTTCCAATAGTAAATCTCCTCAAGGCGATAATATTGTATGCTTGCTCTTCCATTTGGCAGGTGAGAAACTTGGCTAAGTTTCATTGTAAGACCCTTCCTCTTCACAAAACCATAACTAATATATCTGGTATAATAAGAACTATTGGGGGACAATACTATGCTTCTTGCCTCTCCCTCTATGTGGATTTCAACTTGATCAAATCTTTCAAAATCAATCTCCACTTCCCTCGTGCTCCAAGAGTGAAAGAGGTTATCTAATAGCCTCCAATCAACAACTAATTCAAATGTAGCTGTGATGATTCCTTTGACTCTCAGTCTAGCGGTTGTGGTGGGATCTTTAAGACTATAAGGGTAATTTTATTTAAGCCTTGGTTGAACCTATTCTAAGTACCATATCTTACTTGCAGAATTCTCTGCGATTTTTAGAGCCATTGAAATCACTAGGGGAGCATAGATTAATCTCTGATTTTAAAATATTTGATTCTTTTAAACTAGAATTAATTTCGCCTCTAAAATGAATTCTAATTTAAGTTAGAATTTGTAATTTTTAAATTTAAACATAATTTTTACTTTGAAATTTACCGATTAATTCAATTTTCCATAAAATTATCCAAAATTAAATTAATTTACATTCCATTCATTTTTATCCATAATCAATTTTATATAACAATTCATTCAAAATCAATTTTTCTATTGTAAAATATTTGTATCTTTTAAATATAAACAGAATTCTTAGCATATTCTTAGTCGCATGGAGAACGTGCTTCTAATTTATATGGTAATTTCACAAACAATTATCATATAACGGTCCCAAATATGGAGCCGCTCAAATCATGCACCATAGACTAAATTTTCACATCTTTATTAGCTAGATACAAAATCTCATCAATTCTCCATCCACCACATATCACTCCTCTATTTAACAACTTCATCCATTGTCACATATCCATCACTAAACAGTTCATTTCTCCCACTTCATCTCTATCTCATGGCAAACCCAATTCATCTCTTCACTCTCCTCTTTCTACTCTCATTTTTCTTCGCCGGAACCGTTACATCCGTAAGACCTACTCTTTATTAACACTAATTATTCATCTCTATTTTTTTTGTCTGTACTTATCTTTGTGTTGTTACTTGTTTTGTTAGGAAGAGGACTGTGTCTACACGGTATACTTAAGAACCGGGTCGATCTTCAAGGCAGGAACAGACTCAAACATCATTCTCACGTTGTACAATGCAAAAGGGTACGGCATAAAAATCAACAACCTTGAAGCATGGGGCGGGTTAATGGGTCCGGGTTATAACTACTTCGAGCGGGGCAACCTTGATATATTCAGTGGTAGAGCTCCTTGTTTGGAAGGACCCGTTTGCAAGATGAACTTGACTTCAGACGGGTCGGGTGATCATCACGGTTGGTATGTTAATTATGTTGAGGTAACTACAACTGGGGTCCACTCTCGATGTGCTCAGAAGCTCTTCACGGTGGAACAATGGCTGGCTACCGACAAGTCGCCGTATGAGCTTTCTTTTGTTAAGGACAACTGCCCGTATACGTTGGGTCAGGCCGAGGCGAAACTGAAGACGGTTGATGCCGTCGGATCCAGGTCTGGGTCTGATTTCTCTATCTTGGGCTCCACCGTGCGCGTGTAGGATAATATACCTATAAATCTACATGGTTCTCTATGTTTCTACTTAATAATGAGGTTGTTCTACTATTTGCATCGCTAGTAGTGTCGGTGTGACTTGTTTAGGTCGCAAAGTCATTGGGTTCCTCATCTTGAACCTTGTATTTTGTATGATTATGGAATAAAAATGGGTTTTACCCATGGCTTTTTAGTCTTTAAGAAATGTGGTTATTGATTTTAAAATTAATGTTTTATAATAAACTGTGAAATATAAAACTTAATATATATTTTTTCCTATTTAAAGTTAAGACAGCTCATTTCCAAAGAAAGTGAGTGGCTATCAGTGTGTTTGAGCTGCCTTGACATGATTGATACATCCATTTGTTTTTTTTAGTGTTTGCAAGTTTTATGTACGTATCTTTTATTGTTATACAGTAGTTATGTATCTAAGTGAGAGGATACCCTGATATTCATTCAATTATTTCACACACCATATCATAACAGGGACTGCTCAAATTATGGACCACAAGGGAACATTATAATTATTATTTGTCTGGCAATTAGGAGTACGAGCTTTTTTCTGCATTTGTGGTATGTTTAGGGATTACAAATTGCATCTCTTAACCGTGATTTTCGGGGGAGATTATCGGTTCGAAATTGTATTTTTGGATATTATAATACATAGCTATATAATTTTAAATGTTTATTGCTATAAAAAATAATTAATATATTAAAAAATATGAGCCTGATATTATTTTTTTATTATATTAAAAAATAAGAGTGTTTTTTCTTTTTTTTTCTCTTAATTTTTTTTTCTTTATTTTATTGGGGAAATTTTTCATTAGGAAACATTGAGTATTTAGTCAAGAGCAACACAAGTGACAAAAACACTACATATTCATCCAAAATTTTAAAGTGATAGGTAAATGAGTTCTTCCACTTATAAATATTTCAACTCTCCATATTTATAATCAATACGAGACTCTAACTCACACTTGATATATTATTATCATCACATTCCTCATCCTCTTCTCTATTCTTATTATTATCACAATAAAGTAATAAGATCATACACACGCTCACAAGCAAATGTTTTTGCATTTTTTTTTGTTATTCATGCAAGATTTGTTTTTATTTAAAAAGAGAAAACTGCAAATATGTGTTTTCTTTAAATGTTTAAAATAATCATTTGATTCATGTAAGTTGTCGTGTTTTTGTTTTTCATAACTGTATCTTTTTTGAGGATAATGTCTTAAATATTGAATTTTATTTGATTTTAGTCTCTGTTGCGGTGAGAATCGGATATCAAGCTATTAATTAACTTGAATCACAAATTATTGGAGTTCACCCCCGAACTTTGATTTATCCAAAGGAAAGGGTAAAGATCGAAAGAAAACCCTAAGTGCGCTATGTAACAACACAGCTAGAGATCTAAGGTTCGGGGGTTGGTTATACCTAAAGAAGGTGTTAGCATCCTAAGTATCTGTAGTACTCTACAAAAACCTCTTGTTAGTATTTGTGTTATGTTAAAGTTTGTTTGCTAAGTAAAATGTGTTAAAGTAAAGACCTAAGGTATATACACTAAATATGCTCGCCAAGACGTCGCATCTTGTGCCTACGTATCTTAACTAGGATGGAATCAGAGCAACCGTAGTTCACCTAACTAGGAATGGGGAACCCTTGAATGTGGTCAAGGTTCCAAGGGGAAGTAAGTATTCCTAATCATGATACTTACACAAAGTTAACCAACTATCTAAATCTAAGTTGAAAACTAACCTAACTAGGGTTGACTTTAACCAAAGTCAAACGAGAAAGTGAGTACTCATAACCATGATACTCTCATAGAGTTTACCAAGTCTAAACCTAATTCTAAGTTACAAGACAAAATGACTCTAACAAGGCCAAAAAGAAAGGCGAGTACTTATAACAATAGTACTCTCCTAGGATTTACAAACCTTAACCTAAAGTTAGATTGAGAAATGAGATGGCTCTAATAAGGCAAAGGGAAATATGATCCTAATAAGGTCATAAAGGGAATAAGGAGGGGTCTAAACTATCCTAAAGACATGACTTACCAGTCAAACTGAGAACCTTTCCTTTGGAATTTAGGGAAAACTAAAGATACTTAAATGAGACAGCAAACCAACAATTCAGGTCAAAGGTATGCGGAAGTGTCAAAGATCAAGTATAAATCAAGACAAGCATCAATACTTCTTCAAACAATTAGGTCAAACAAAACTAAAATAAAATTCTATGGGAAACAAAAAGTAACCAAAATAAGTATTGAAAATAAAATATTTAGGAATTTCAACTATAATATATGAAATTTTTTTACATTTGAAATAAATAAGCATATATTTTATGCATATATTAAAAAATGATAAAAAGAAAAGCTTACTAGTTTAAAAAATGTTCAAAACCAAAATACCCAATGTATAATGTAAATCACTAGAGTTATATATAATAAAAAAACAAATAGAATGGAAAACATATGGGCCGACTTTGAGGAAACAGGTAAAGTCCAAATCACAAAAGTAGGGTGGGTCAGTTCGTGGGCTGGCGGGTTGGTCCAGTCAAGTCGAAATAAAACACAAAACCTAGGATGATCTCACATGGATACCTTCTTCTTCACTCTGCAGATCGCGTTCCAGGATAAAAAGAGGAAACAAAAATGAAAGAAAAACAAAAAGGAAAAGGACCTCTCTCGATTTGTATGATCCGCTCCCTCTCTTCCTCTCAAAGCTGCTACAACTCATTCTCTCTTTCTCGCAATATTCTTCACTCACGCGTCGAGACGAAATACGCTTTGAATACAAATCCTCAAACCATGAAGTGCAGCAACTCAATAACAACGATTAATCAGTAACAATGGTAAATCATAACAAAAGCGAAAACTCAAAACGCGTCACGACAATAAAGGTAAATGATATTTAAAGTTCAGAGGAAATGAAAATAGAGGTTCTCATGGTTCTTTTTCTTCGTAATCAAGTGGGTTAGAAAAACGATTAATTGGAAAGAAAGTGATTCTATGACAAATTAGAATTCAAGACATAAGCTTCAAACTGGCGCACAAGAGAAACAACAATGTAAAAAATCGAGATACTTACATTAAATCAGAGCTTCTTATTCGAGTGTGGATTCGACTCTACTTTCTTCGACTCTATTCTCCTTGTCTCGATTTCTATTGTTGCAGTGCAAAATGGTTCCGCGTTCAAGCTTCTCTGACCTAATTCGTTGCAGTTGTTGATGAAAAATTAATGTGGTTCTGTTGTTGTGAAAAGTAGAGTTGGTTGAAGATAACACAAAGCAAAAAAAACGGACGCGGGGCTAAGGTGATTCGAGAAAGTTTTTTTCGTTTGTTCTTCCCTTCCTATGAACTGATTCTTTTCCTTCCCTTTTTGAACACAGTGAACACTGGAAACTTGTATTTGCTGAGTTTTTCTAAATCCCCGCACTCCCTACTTTTTTCTCTGTTCTTCTTTTATGGTCATCCTAACCTGTCTTCTAAGCTTCCCAATCTCAAGAAATTTGTCCTGTAATTCATGACATGTAGCTCTCACAATGCAGGTTTGCTGCTGATATTTTTGTGAAGTTGTTTTCAGGGCAACAAAATGGTCTGGATGTGGCAATGTTTCAGGTTGGTGCATATGCTGCAGCTTATATGCATCAAAGTTTTTATGGTTGGTGTATTGTGGCATTTCAGAAGTGCAGAATTTTTGTCTTCAAGTGTATGACTTGTACTAGAATTGGGGCAAACTGTGCTTAGAGGTGGTACGACTTTCGTGCTGTAAAAAAAAATGCAGAATTTTTATTTTTCTTGGCACTTGGTTGTAAAAAAAGAAAGAATGAATTGTGACGGGCCTTTGAATTGACTTGTATGGACTATATGGAAATGTGATGTTTTCTTTTTATGAAATGTGTTTCTTTTTTTTTTTTTTATGTAAATGGACTTTTGGGTTATATATGGGTTTCATGTTGAATTTGAATATATATATATATATATATATATATATATATATATATATATATATATATATATATATATATATATATATATATATATATATATATATATATATATATATATATATATATATATATATATATATATATATATATATATATATATATATATATATATATATATATATATATATATATATATATATATATATCATGAGTTGAGATTTGACTTTCAAATTTAAATCTAGAAAAAAAAATAGAATTTGGATAATAACGATGGATGTTTATGAATGGGTATTGAAATGGAAATAAAACGGGAATTGGGTACTAAAACGGGAATCAAATAAAAGAGTAAATGAATTTGGAAAGGATTTAAAAGAGGATGGACATGAGATGTGGACTGAACGTTTTTATGGTTGTTTTAGACATAACCAAAATGATACTATAGAGAAAAATTTTCCACTGGAGATAGAACCAGACAAACGAACTTCACTGGGAAAAAATTGAACAAAGAGTAAACTTCTGACAAGAGCGACAACAAAACAAAATGATCTCCTAACAAGGGATCAGACAAAACCAAATATTTTCCTTAAAATGAAGAGTTCAAACATGATCTTCAGGAAACGATAGGGAAAGAAAAAGATAAGTCTAACCGAAATATGTCAAGTGAGTTGGACTTTAGAAAATATCCATAAGATCTGGACTTCACGGGAGACGTTAGTGACAACCCACATTCAAACTATAACAACCAATAGACGTTTAAAAGAAATAATAATTACCATCAGAATTTAAGCAATACCAGTCACCACTGGACTTTCAAAGGATGCCAATTATCATTGTACTTTAAAGAATTCCAATTACTATTGGACTTTAAACAATGCCATTCACCACTGGACTTTCAAAGGATGCCAATTACCATACTGCACTTTCAAAGGATGCCAATTACCATTGGGCTTTAAAGAATTCCAATTACTATTAGACTTTAAACAATGTCAGTCACCACTGGACTTTCAAAGGATGCCAATTACTATTATACTTTAAGTACCAATAACCACTGGATTT